TTTATATATATATATTTAAATATGGAGACCCGGTTGGCTATGTAGGGTTTAATGTGTTTAAGGCGATTCGTAACCGCCGCCACCATTGTCATATCCAGACCCATAACCCTCCTCCTCCACTACCACCTCCCCCACCTTTACTAATTGACCTTGCAGCAAAGCAGACGTCCACAAGGATCAAAACCAGAAATGCAGCACCTATTGCTCTCGAGCTGGCCATTGTTAGGCTCTCAAGACACGATTGGAATGTGGGTTTTTTCGGTACGCACTTCTAGAGTATATACTTACACGATTATATCGAAGTTGGTATGTACTGTAAAAAAACAAAGAGAGAGAGAGAGAAAAGCTTTGGCGAAGGTGAGATGGGTATGTATAGCGATTGTAAAGGTGAGTTTTGCAGGAATCAAGATTAGCAGAAGCTAATTCAAGCCGCTTGGTTTCCACGGGTTTAAACCGATGATTACGACTGTAATAGCAAAGATGAGTTAGGTTTAGAAATTGGTGGCGGTGGGCGGTGGGATTAGGATGGAGAGTTTTCTACTGGTCTGCATGCAGTTTTACTCATAATAACTTGTTACTGTCTCCCGCTTTTGACTTCAAAGTTGAAATACTATATGTATGTGTTTGTCGTGTGTGTGTGTGTATAATATGTAATATATATATATATATGCATATATCTTTTTTTTTCTGAACTTAATATTTACAACTAGCTTTTCATCCCACGTTATAATTTTACTTAGTAGATTTTATTGCTCATAATTTTTTTTTAATTTTCAATTGGAATTATTACAAATGTCGAATTAAATTTTTATTTCAAAATTTAAAGTAATAGTTTTATTCTTACATGTCATCAGAAAAATAAAAATATACATATATATTTATTTCATAAATAAGAGTTGAATACATATACTGAAAATAATTAATACATATGCTATTTTTCATATATATGCTGCATCGTTTTCCCATGCAGCTTTAATATTAAACGACATAATCAAACACTTCGTACGTTCATGGCGATTCATTCCAGTCGCCGCCTCCTTCACCGAATCCCTCCCCCGAACCCGACCCACTACCGCTTCCAGATCCATTGCTCAGACCGCCACCTCCTCCACCTCCGCCGCCACTTCCACCTCCTCCGCCACCTCCGCCATTTTCACCGATACCACCTCCATGTCCCGAACCACTTCCGCTTCCGGAC